TCCCCAGCTATCAGGTAAATTAACAAAATTATGGCTGATCAAAAAAAGTGGCACAACCGTATCCAGTTTTTCCTACCTACACTTTTTCTTAATATTGCTGAATAAAAATATAAAAATATAAAGCTGCTAATAAATAAAATTGTTAACAGAAAGTATTAGCCTATTCGCTTCTTTAGATGAAGTTTTATTTTTAGAATGTATTAACTCTATGTAGGTATAATCCATATCAACCCTCATATATTCAAAGCCTCAACCTTGGAATTGAGCCAAATCGTAATTGATTTCAGATTATATCTCGCTTGGTAATTAAATTGAAACAAAAATTATTCAAATTAAAATAAATTTATTTAGTCAGAGAAATGTGTGAAAAATGTTGAAAGGTAGTAGTCTTGATATAAATTAGTGCGTAGTATGCTATTTTCAGAAATTTGGACTTTACATTTCATATAGTTTTGTATTTTCATTCCATACATAACCTTTCATCAAAATGGAGAAGAATTTACACAGCAAAAATTAGTTTCCTGCGCATATAGTTTAACATTTAATTTATTTGATAGTACTATTACTATTATATAAGTGGCTGCTAAATTGTATCTTTTAATCATCATTAATCTAATTAACTAGAATAAATATTTTGTGCTGTATAAAATCTATCAATTAGTGTCGCATGTAAAGAGTCTGTCATTGCCGTTAAAAGTGTTTTAACACATTAACACTATGTACACAGAAATCTATTCAGCAAAACAATATAGACAGAAGACATTGAAGAATTATAGACAGTCATAGAAATAGGGATTAGAATTTTCCAAAAATATACGGATATATTTCGAGCTAATTTTAAATATTTTAATAACGCCTAAAAGATCTTGGGAACGAACTTTAAAATCATTCATTCCTAAATATCATAGGAATATAGACAAGGATTCAACAAATTTCTAAATGGCATAATTTATAATTATGATTAAGACAAAAATTTATTAAAAACTGATCGAGCACACAAATCTATTTTGAATCTACCTAAAATTACACAAGACAATTTTATAATTGTCTTTGCAGAATGATCGAAATAGAGCGTACATATTTTTCATTTCACCACTATTAAAAACTTCACCTGTATTATAAATAATAGAGGAATTTGATATTAAAATCAGTATGAAATCGAATTTGCTATAAAAATATAGTATGTCTTATCAGGTGTCAATACGGTCTTTGCGATTTTAGACAATTATATGAGACAAAATGATTTAACACTTACTCTTATCTGATCTGATTTTTGTTTCATCAGCATTTTGTTTGATCTACATCTGATTTTTATTTAATCAGCTTAAGGAAGTGGTTTCCAAACTTTTTGCAACGCTATATCTCCCCCCCGTTCTTATACCAAAAATTGTTGCGCACCCCTTAATTTTGTTAACAATTTAATTTCATAAATACTGTTATAATTTAATTAATATGCTACTACACTAATATATAATTTTATATAACATAAAAAAATAATTATGTATTTATTCATTTTTATATCATTTAAAATTTTTGGTTTATTTTCGACAATGGTATTTTGGAAATAGCTATACGCCCTCCTTTAAACAGCAATGCGCTCCTCTGAGAGGGCGCTCCCCGCGGGTTGAAAACCACAGGCAATGAACATTATTATTATATAGTATAATAAAGTGGCATAAAATCAAATATATTTGTATGCGCCGGAAAAACAACAAATTTATTCTTATAATGTCCAATTTGCAATCTAGTCAAAAGTAGCTTTTTCGTCTGAGAAAATATATTTAAAATTAGCTCGAAACAGTTTCAATAGCAAGATGAGTTTTCCAAGTCTAATAGTAGTAGTACTATCTACGATGGCCAACAAATGCACATTGATTAATAATAATTATTATTATATTCATTATAATATATATATATACACTCATATACATTTATATATGTACACATAAAACGCATACATGCGCATGTGTGCTTCGAGTGTATGCGTGTTTTTTATGTAAAAACACAAAAAGCTTAAATAAATTTTAAGTTTTATTATGTTAAACTAATTGTAAATTCAGACCCGAGCATTATTAATTTAAATTTTAAATACTTATCAATTCGAATTTTATACAAAAGAAAGTTTCTGAAACTCAAAATTTTTAGCACCATAGTAATAGCATGAATCCATTGAAGAATTATGTATTAGTTTTATTTTCTATTTATTTTTGGTGCATTTGAATCTAATATAACCAAGATTGTACTTGTTATATATTATATATACATCATAATATATATGAATTATTTTGCAGCCCAATCGTCGAATTAAAAATAATTAAAATAGAATTTTTTTATTTCAATAAATAAAAATAGTTGATATTAAATATAGAAATATAAAAAGGAGAAAATTATATACATACCAAACCAAGAAAAGCACCAAAAAAATTATATAAAATTTATTGAACACTAAACTTGTGTAACAAAAATCCCTTATCACTTCTCTGTTTCTCATTCCTCTTTTGTTTCTTTACACCCCGCATTCACTCATTCTACCGCACGTGCCGCGAAACTTTTAACAGTTGTGTCACAATGCACAACGATTGAACATCATACAATGGCATGTGCTCCTTTAATTTCTATTTTATTAATTATATTAGTTATGATAGATTTTTTTACACTGTGTTCAATATTTTTTATATAATTTTTTTTTGTTCTTTCTGGTTTGGTATGTATATAATTTTCTCCTTTTTATATTTTTATATTTAATATCAACTATTGTTATTTATTGTAATATATTTTTTAGATTACTAAGTGTCGAAACGTTGAATTAAAAAAAAATCTATTTTAATCCTTTTTTAATTCGACGATTGGGCTGCAAAATTCTTTAATATGTATCAATAAAACTAGTTGTATAATAAGCGCAGCCAGATTTATAAATGATTTTAATAATTTTACCAATAATTAAACTGAACTTGATTAAATTGCAATTTTAAGTTATATCATCAACAATAAATATTTGAGATGTACCGTTATTATCTATTTTAAAATAAATATTCTGATACTACTACCGACGTTTAGAGCTTAAATAAAAAATACAATTTACACATTTAATAGTTGTATTCTATTTTCAGAATATTTTTGACAAAAACTATATATCTGGTTATGGTAAAATGATTTCAAACAAATTTGCAAATTGTTAAGTAAAAATGAAAATATTTTCGATAATCATTTTGAAATTACCTACATAAATTAACACCCTTGTTTTCAATTTATTTAAGCCTAGTTATAAATATAATTTAGAGGTCAAATAACATCTTACTGGAAAATTAAATTCACAAACGATCACTAGAATTCGCACGAAACATTAAAACTTGACTTTTTTCTCATGTCCCT